CAACAATGCTCATACCACATATTAAAGCTGATTTTAGTTTGTTTACACATACAACAATGCTCATACCACATATTAAAGCTGATTTTAGTTTGTTTACACATACAACAATGCTCATACTACATATTTTGCTATCTATTCATGACATATATATTTGACAATAAAACAGTAAAAAATTTATTATTACTGTTTTAGTTTAGAAAATTATCATTTAGGTAATTTTTGCCATGAACAGCTTTGTATATACACTCCATACATGATTTTCCAGCTTTGTATATACACTCCATACATGATTTTCCAGCTTTGTATATACACTCCATACATGATTTTCCAGCTTCGTATATACACTCCATACATGATTTTTGTGTTGTTTTTTTTCAAGAATATGAAATGACTGAACTGTCAAACTAAAGAATCCAACATTAAAAGTAGAAAATGTTGCACTTTTGAATAAAAGATTAATAAACAATAAAGACTAAAGAAAGACTGAACATCCAAACCACAACACTGTTCCAATAACCAAAGCTTATTCACGTGCTGTAAACCTACTGTGTTTCACACAGCAAAATAATAACCCTATTCACAGGTGTGTACACAGTTCTAACAGCTATGATTGGATGAAATCTTAATTAATTCAGTACGTATATGCCATTCTAAAAAAAAAAAAATGATCTAAGACACGGGTAAATTCCTGAAAGATAACTAAACACTCCCCACTAAAACTAGATCTCAAAAATTACACGATGAAAGTAACAAAAAAACATTTTGTAAATGTGCTTACTACTTACTGAAAAGTTAGGAATTTATCACAAAACAAATTAACCTTTGTATACAAATTTACCTTTTTCCTACCTGGTAATATCTTTGAGTATATTTGTTATATTTCATCATTAAGCATTGCAAGTTTTTCTACCAAATGTAACAGAGATTCGTGTACCCACTACGTAGCACACATCAGTTAACCACTTCCACGTCAGGCTTTTTTTGAAAATGAGCTCAATATAAGAGCAAGTTTTTTATTTCACTTTTTGATAGCCTATCCTTATCTATTAATGAACCAAAATTATCAAATTTCTGCACAAAATCCACTCAATAAATAAATGTTACATATATTATTTCAATGAAACTCCAGTAAACAATAAGAACAATTTTTTTTCAGTGTTTATTGCAAAATATAACGATATTATATTATGAGAGATATTAGAGTAATTATTCGAAAATAAAATGCCCACTTTCTAAAAATCTGTCATGGTATGGTATGCTGGGAAATAAGGCGCAGCACGAAATACAACATCACAATCTGGACAATAGTATCTGCTTTCTTGACTCACTTTCTTTCTTTTTCAATCCCTTTGAGCAAAGCATACTGTCTCGATGGGTTAGTCTTAGTTTCTGTGGCAGGTATTATGATGTTGGGAAAGTAGCATTCTGTCAGGCAAAGTGAATTTGGTGTTGTCCTTGAACACCCACCTTTCGAGGGAGAATGGTACTTTTCTATCATCTTCACAATCACCACCATTCTGTATTCCAAATGTTTCCTCTGACCTCCTGTTTTGGAATACAAAACATATGAATTCTAAAATGGTTGTTCTTCTTTCTTCCTTTCTTGGAATGGGACAGTATGATAAATGTTAGTCAACTCTGTCAATGCCGTCCATAGCGTCTTTATAATCAATGACTACTTTTAGCTTTTTCTTCTTCACCTCTCCTCTTTTCTCGACATCCATTCCAGCATTATGAACAGCTGAAAGCAGGGTTTCATCATTTTTTGTTATCCTTCCAGCACATGACAATGATATGCTATTATTTCCCCTTTCTTCAAGTTTTTTTCTTTTCTTATAAATTTTACTATCCCATACATGTCAGTGATATGAGAAATGAGTATGTCTGATAGTTGTGGACAAGTCTAACAATTGTCCATTGTTAGACAGCAACCCTTGTCCAGTAAAGGTTTCAACAATGACATCACAATCTGCAACAACACAGGAAGTTCTTTATAATCTTCATCAACAACTGTCCCTTTTCCTGTGTAAGTTACACTTGAACAGATATATCCTGACTTTGTTTCACAAGGTATGAACGTCTTGATGCTAAATCTGGCACTTTTTAAAGGAATGTACTGAACTGTACAAGTCGTCCTTTAGCCATCTCCCTGTTCATACAGATACTCAAAAACAGGCCACATCTTATTCAGCTTTGGACTTAGGTGATTTTCTGGGTTATAAGTACCATTGTCAGAGATATGAATGTATTGTTTCAAAATTATAAACCTTCAGTGAGACATAATTTTGGAGAAAGAACTGTGGTAATGAAAGGATTCTTGGACCCATAGAGTTGCTCTTCAGGTTTACACACAAAACTCTGTAAAATTATGATGTCAAAAATGTATGCATCTTGTCATTTGTTCTGGGATGCCACTGACCGCAGCAAGATTGAGAAAACCTCCTTTGACATGCTTAGAGACACTGAGGTGCATAATAGTTTGTTTCTGTTATCACATCTACTAATAGAACATCGAAAGAAAAAAGCTAAAAAATGCCCCCCATTAGGGACAATATCAATGAAATTTGAATCTAGGTGGAGAAAGGAAAAGTTGCCTGGTAGTGTCAATTTTGCACCATACCCAAGATTGTAATAAGGCAATGCCATAATTGTCCCCATCTAAACTACTCTGTTCTGAGATAGTAGTTCCACTTCCAGAAAAGCTGTTTTCAATTTCATCGCAATCATTATAACTTTCAATATCCATTTCACCAACTAAAAGTGGAACACAAATAAAGCATAAAACAATCTACAGGTAACAAACATAAAACTTACTCTCCTACCAGAAAACAATGCATTCTACTGACTAGAGAAATGGACCCATAATTCAGAATAAATCTCATACAGATCAGCTAAAAACAGCATTTCCAACGCTATCTAGCAAGCAATGATTGTAATACATAATAAAATGTGAATAAATTTGGGTAAATAATTTAAAATATGGCAAGAAATGGTTTGCCCAAATTAACTTGGGCAAATATTTTTCGAAACATGAAAGGTGCCAGAGTTATCTTGGACAAATCATGAAAAGGGTTAACCCGAATAAGCTTAATAATCTAGCATGAGTTTTGTTATTAACACAATTTCCATTAATCCACAATATGAGATATTTCTCCAGCAAATATGAATAATACTATTGCTTTAAATATCATACATATTTTTTTCTACAACAAATGAAATATATCCAGAATCCTTGCAATTGAGCAGGAAGTTAGTAACATCTGAGACAGACTCAAAGTTTTTAATGAATTTTGCCATTCACTTCTGGCATTTGAAATGTTTTGTTTTTTTAACCACACAGATGATAAACAACCCCACAGAGCTTTTGATTCCTTAAATATCAGATCTAATATCTGATCTACATTCATATAAGCACTATATTATCTACAAATGTGGCTTTCACTGAGAAATACTATTACTGGAACAGAAGTTGCGAGTAAATCTTTTTACTGGCAGTTGATCAATAAGTGAATGGCTTTAATTCATCAAATTTTTCATAGTGATTTCCAGCCATCTGTTAGAACTTAAAATACTTTTAAATACTAAATTAAATTCACTTTTGTTTTGCTGATAAGTGACAAAGAAATATCTGTACATATTTTTTCCTTATTGACTATAGCTAGCTGTAAGACAGAACTTAATGAAAATTCTTTCTGATTGATATCTTCATTATAAGTTGCTTCTTTATTACCAAAGGTGAAGAGGTTAGACTCACCTGAAATATGTAAAAAGAAATCTAATTTCACACATAAATGTTACAAATATCAAGCTCATAGCACAAAAAATTTTATTTGGATCCTGGTGTGCCATGTTTTATTTTTTCTCTGCTTCCTGCTCTGAAACGTAGTGCTGCACGAGAAGAAGAAGTGATACGAGATGAGAATGGTAAGTGATCAACTGAACTGCTCAATCTTGCATTTTCAGGAGACTGAGCATTAAATCTATCTGATGAACGTGATACCCTTGGGGAGGGTGGTTTCTTTTTCTGAACCCCAGCTCGTGATGAGGGAGTAGTTACAGATACACTACGATTTGCTGTTCCTGATGCACAGAAAGCAGAACTCCTACGAGCTGATAGCTCACGAGAAACCCTAACTGGGGCTCTTTTTGGTGATTTGCTAGGGTACTTACGAGGAGATTCAGCATCGGAACTGGTAGAGACCCCCGCATTTATGATAGGTCTCTCACTACACTCTTTTGTCTTATCACGACTTACAGAACGATGCTGGTTTTGAAGCTTTCTCTGTAGTTCCTGCTCCAACAACTCTGCTTCTTGAAGACAATGATTAACCAAGGTTGACTCCACATCAATTTCTGTCACTAGGTCCTTTCCCAACTCCCCACCTTCACTTCCTCCAGAGGACAGTGGAGAGAAACTACTAGCTGGTGACACAACAGATCTAGTTTCTGAAAGCAAACATTGGCCAGAACTATCTGAACTGTAAAGTCTGGTATCCTGTTTTACTGTAAAAGGAGAAACCTTTGCAACTTGACTATTCTTACCTGCTAGAGAAGAAAGAGCACAACCTGTTTTTTTTAGGAAGGCGAGATGGAGAAGCACTTCCAAGTTTGAATCGCCGATATTTTGGAGTGTCCGTTATTTCAGTCAGATGAGCTCTAGAGGGGGAAATATCTTTTGTAGGTGATGTAGCATTGCTCCTGGGCTTCAATCTAGCTCCAGATGTCACTAACAGGGGGGGAGGGAACAAGAATTATCTCAAAATATTATATAAATCACCGACTGTTAATCTGGTCAAAGATTATATTCAAAGGTATAATACTTTCACACATTAGCTGTTTGAGATTTGAAAGTTAAAAGCAAAAACAGTATTTGTTTCAATACTGTCTTTATATTAAATAATTTAAGATGTTTAGTTTCAAAAGCAATATTTTACATATATTGTAGCTTTATTTTTTCTCTTACACAGAAGAAATGCTCAACTTCATAAAAAAACTAAATTCAACACACACACACATACATACACAGTACTTATCTCATTTATTCTATAGGCCTTGTATAGATCAAGCTGAGAACTAAGATTTCATACCTTCCAGCATTTCATCCGTTTCACTAGTAAAAGTCTGTTGTCTAGACTTTTCTGACAGTGTTGGATCTGAGTGTCTATCAGTACTGACAGATGTACTAAAGCTAAAATCTTCAACAGACGTCACAGAAGTTGTCATAGAAACATCTGGAGAATTTGCACTGTTTTCATTTTCTTTTTTATTCTTCAAGTTTTTAGTTACTTCTTGATCATGACAGGATTTAGTCATCGACCATTCCGTTAGAGAACTCGCAGGGACTGTCCCAACAGTGGATGTCATATCATTTCTGTTTTTTGACTGCTCATCAGGAAACTCGTTTTTTTTAAAAGGAACTAATGTAGTGTCTTGCTTAGGCAACAGTTCCTTTCCCTGTTTAGGTTCATTTTTCAACTTATCTTTTGATTTAACAGGATACGTAGCATATTTATCACCGGAATCTAAGCCATCTCCTCCTCCTCGCGTCTTCTTGGATTTCTATGCAACAAAATTATAAGTTATTTGAGACCTTTATTTGCTGGCAACTGTATCTACTATTTCCTAACTTTATGGAGCATTACCCTAACAACATGTAACATAGTAGATTCAATACAATTAAAAACCAAAGAAATATGTTCCACCAACCCAGAGTTAATGTGCAGTTAGTGGTACACCTTCTAAACTATGCGATATTTACTTATACAAATAATTTCTACAAAATTAAAGGACATTTTTCACTCAATTCTAAGGTATCTATAAACACACACAATTATTAGGTGTATAATGTACACAAATACTTTTTTAATTTATTCAGCAAAGAAATACAAAACTATTATTACTCATTTAATGTATATTTACATAGATCAGCAAAGCCTGCACTTAAACATCAGTGGATATAACAGGAAAAACTGCTCAAATCTTCAGGTATTTAGGGCATATACCCAAGTGTAGAAATATATCTTAAACATATATATCTTATACCCATTTGATATGGGTATAACTCGAGTAATTAGTATCACAATGGAAATTAACTAAGTATTCTTAAGCTCTATTGCATTCTTATTTATTCCTATGTGCTTATCTTTCTTCACTTATTCAAATAATTTATGTTTGAACCAATAGTAAGTTTTCCATTTCATTCAGCATAATCTTGCAATACTAATATGTGGCTTATTTAATACATCTGTTACTTGATTGTTGTTAGTTCTCTGACTGTTTCTCAGTTTCTACTTCCTTTATTTATTTTAACAAATGTTATTTATTTTTCTAGTTTTTGAACTTAAAATGGTATGTCACTTAAAAAAAAAAAGAAAGAAATGTAGCAGTGGTTGGGAAAGAATAATGCAAGTGTTCTAAGAAAAAAATTATAGTTTTGTTATGGATTTAGAACTATTTTGAACACAATAAACTGGTTATTTCAAATTACCATTTGCAACTACATTTAACTTTTGCATTTTCTGGCATTCAAACATAACTTTTAAAAACCTTCTTCTCAAAGATTTATCTGAATACCTATATTTTCTAAACATTTAAAAAAAATTTTTAAACTTTCACAGATAACTACACTCATCTTTGTTGACACCCAAATAATAATTTATTCAAGTAGGGCTCTGGCTGTCCAATTTTTTCTCCTGGGGAGATTCCACATCCTAAAGCATTATTTTTTTCGTTATATTTGCTCAAAACTATATTTCATAATGTATAAAGAAATAAAATGCCTGAAATATGAGAATTTATCATTTCATATTCCACATATAATTGTCCCATTAGTTATAACAGGTTACATGTGGTCTGAACCATCCAAAGTCACATATTAGCAACACACCTTGCCTGTCTTTGATAAGTACACTTCACATTTATAAAGCCTAAGATACTATCTTTTAAGTATAATGGGACTGTCTACAAAGCTTTAGTATTTAAAACAGCAGAATAAGTTAACTCTTAAAAAGAAATCTCAGAACAGTGTAACATTTCAATACTTTGTGTACTTTGTAAGAAAGCCACATCTTTTAGCTGTAATTACAATAATAAAGTTGATTAACTCTCTCACTAAGGGCTTGGCCTAATCAGCTGAGTTTGGGACCCCAAATTGACATTTATAGTTTCCATACTATAACTTTTAATATGTTTTGTGTATCTTCATGAAATTTCGCAGGGTTTCAGTAATCATTAAGAGTCATTTGTAGAGAAAAAAAAATTTTTAATGATGTACTTTCACTAAAAACTTCTCCATAAATATATAAATAGTTAAGTTGTTGACTGTTTCAAGAGCAAAGTGATTTTCATGTTATGATTAAAACCTGAAAATGCTCAAATTTTATTTGTGTAATCTCTAAAACTTCCAAAGTAAATTTCAATTTCTTTTTTTAAGTAAAACTTTATATTTCATCTGTTATTTTCTCTACCCTAACTCTATATGAGGTTATTCAAATTGATCAACCTTGTAACCACCAAAAAAAAATTAGATAAATCTAAATTACCCTTTTTTCTTTCTATAAAAGAGTTCAAATTGTAGCATGAAACTACATTTGTTTATCTTAAATAGCTTTAAACACATAACAGAATAGATCTGTTTATACTTAAATTATGTTTTATTGTCCTTTGAACTGTGTCCAATGAATATTCCCATCACATACATAAATCATAAGGCAAACATGTAGCTTACGTTAACCTATCAAATTACATAACAGACTAGTCACGAGTTGCTCGCAAGTGTATCTCGTGAAAATTTATTATTATTATTATTTACTTTACCCAATCTAACCTAAAAAGTTTCTTGTTTTTATGTTTTAGTTACATTTATAATAATAAATAGAGAATACACATGAAAAACAAAAAAATGAAGTTATTACCTGGGTCTTAAATTTTTTTTGCTGTTGACTGTCGATGAAACTTAAGCATATTTTTTATATCAATGGTACTACTGCACTAAATAGTATTTTATTTAACTAAATAATATCAAAAACACACAGAATAATAACAAGCAAAAGCAGACAATGTCCTATAACTATCACAATGTGTCTGGCTTTCTAACTATGAGGCAAGAGCCGTTAAAAATTCAGCTTAGCTTGTAGATGTGTTTCCTGTGGGAATAAAGTTTGAAATGAAAGCAAAATAGACAATTCTCTGTCCAAAAAAACAACATAATATAATACATCATTTGATAGTTAAAAATCTTGGCTTTCTATTGGTTATAAATAATATAGTATTTAACGTCAGAGAGAACTACTGGCAATTTGTGAAAGAGAGGATATGACGGGTGAGTATGGCAAGAGGGGTCTGATTTTCTAGCTTATGGCTCTGTAACCAAATAAGATTGAAGGCTATAAAAATTATGCTTTGTCTGAGCAATGACAACATTATAATAAGTAAATTACATTAAATTTCATACTTCTTGGATGGGTGGAAAACAAATTAAAGAAGAGGGCATACCTAGAGATCAAATGTCACAATTCTCATACTAGAGGAAATTGAGGATTTTTTTTAGATTTCATTATGAAATTAGAATCTTAAAGCTTATATAATATTAAATAAAAAAAGTGGATGCCAAGTTTATTCCTATACCATGATCATAAAGTAATTTAATTAAATATTGAATGTAACTCACTAAAACCTCATGACGTGCACAGAAAAAGATGCTCATGGTGAAAGTGTTAATACAGAGAGTACAATGTTTAGGTTCTTCCTACACATATAACATAGAGAAGTAACATCAACCATAAAATTTATTCTATTAATACATCATAAGGCAAGCATGTTGTTCGCCTGTGATAATAATCCATTCAGATAGAAAATTACAATTAAATAAGATCTTGTTCTTTGTTGAATATCCACAGCTAACTGTGATTATTCTTTGTCATCCAATATATTTCACCCTGAATCAAAACCTCACCTGCAGTAAACTTGACAATCGTGGTGGTGGTGCTGTTGGCTTTTCAAATTCAATTACAATAACTGCAGCTGAAAGACCAAAATACTGAATAAATTTCTATTTAAAAAGTTCCACCAGTAGATGATATGTTAAGTTTGACTTTCACATTTTTATTTAACTTTCATTGATTCGAACGTTTCATAAAATATCAGGAAAACACCTTTTTTTTTAAACCAAAAAGTCTTCCAGTTTTACCATGTTATTATTAATCTAAGTGAAGATTAAAATATGGTAATTTTCAAAAGCCACATCCTTACAGAAACAACTAAAGCATGACAATAATTCTATCTTTAAGATATACATTCTTAGACAATGAAGTGATACCATTTTAACTACAACTGTTACTTAAGTTGAAAACTACAAAAATAGCAAAACATACAAAAGAATTTTAATTTTTGAACACGATTTTCAGAGATTAAAAATTTAATAATCCAGTAACATGAAGGTTTATTTTTGTATAACAAATATACTATTGGAAATTTAGAAAATTACTATAACTTTGTGTTTATCTACTATTTATTCTAAAAAGAAGAAAATCTTACTGGTAGAATACCTTAAATACATTGCTAAATGAAAAATTTGCTTAATTATTTTCTTTATCATAAACTTAACTTTTGCACTTCCTGAGAATACCTTAAATACATTGCTAAATGAAAAATTTGCTTAATTATTTTCTTTATCATAAACTTAACTTTTGCACTTCCTGAGAACACACGGAGTAAAAAAAAAACCCAGTAAACTCAGCATTTTAACACAATGAAAAATGTGGTTACTGATTATCAAATAAACATACATTTTTACAAAAGTTGTCAAACTTTGAAAACCTTTTGTGATATACACGAAAGCAGTAATTGAAATGATAAATCTGGAAGTTTGAAACACGTTTCAAACTTGTTTAACACTACTTAATGCTTATCAAGCAAAAAAAAAACACAATCAAGAACCGTATGTCTCTTTAAATTTCATGAATTTTAATATCAGATTTTATTTTTCTGGCTTTCAAATAAAAAAATTTTTCATGCAAGTAATTTTCTTATATGAAAACTTGTCCCATTTTAGTATTGTACAGTATTTTTATGGCTGAATAAATAAAGTAAAACTGATGAAGTTTGATGTTTCACGTAAACATGACATCTCTTAAAAAGTATAAAACCTTTTGTTAAAAGAAACAAATGTTTATGATGTACAATTAAAAGTAATTTTTGCTGTGATTTGTAAGCTTTAGTATGTAATATATAACTGTGAAGTTTTAACCAAAGTTTTAAAAGCATGACCAAGATTTAAATATTTTAAAAAACCTACAATCTTTGATTTTTTTCTGAGCTTCTGAAGGCAGAAGATTCCAATTTAAACAATGGACCACAAGGTTTGCATGTTGGATCAGAAAACGTTCACAAAGTCTTTGAAGATGACGCAGGAGCTCAAGAAAATTCTGCAAACATTTCATATGCTTGTAATTTTTTATTAACAACACCATTTATCAAATACCAGACTCAGAAAAAACAAGAAAATACAGCTAGATTACAGTTCAACTAGACTTTTCTTCTAATTATGTGGAGTATATTTTAACCTAGCTTAGGCTTGTTAATTCTAACCATTATATGTCATTTACAAGTTTATTATTTTGTTATTCACAATGTAATATGCCAATATTATAATTGTAACCCTTTCGTAACATAGAAAATAAATATATCTTTATTTTTGGTGTATGTTGTAGTAGGTTTTTCAAGACCATGTTCAGGTTTTTGAACTTCGTTTCAAGTTGATGTTGAACTGTATTAAGCATGACCCTAGAAGCTCCTTCACCCCAGTTGAAGGTCACATCTTCATACATGATATTGGTCTTGGAAGTTCTCAACACTGGACAACTCACACGAGAGCACAGGATCATGGTGATTGTAAGAAGTTTTGAGAGAGTTATAAAACTTGAAAACGAAATTATGCCAAATACAGAAAAATATCACTTTTTCTCTTTCTCCCAAGCTTTAAATAGTGCAGGTGTTCAGAACTTAGAAATTGCACCACAATTGGTCAATCAACTGTTCTTTGTGATCGTTGTACACCTTGTGTTGATATCTTTCTTTATATCTGAGATGTTTCTTATTAAGCTTTGCTTAGCAGAACCTCAGCTTTCAGTTTTTTTGGTACTTCATACTTACCTATTGGACAACAGTGAACCTGAATATTACACCAGTTTAACACAGAGACAACACATTATCAAGTAGCTATTCTAAGTATACAGCAAGAATGTTCTAACCTGTGTCTAGTCTCTTAATTCCTGGGAGTTATGTGATTCTACCAAGGGGAGGAGATGACTCAGTTGTATACTTACCTGCTGGACAACACTGAACCTGAATACTATAGCAGTTTAGCACAAAGACAACACATTACCAAGTAGCTATTCTAAATATACAACAAGAATTGTCTAACCTGTGTCCAATCCCCTAATCCCTGGGAGTTCTGTGACTCTGCCATGGGAGCAGATGACTCAATTGTATACTTACCCATTGGACAACACTGAACCTAAATACTATAGCAGTTTAGCACAAAGACAACACATTACCAAGTAGCTATTCTAAATATCCAACAAAAATTGTCTAACCTGTGTCCAATCCCCTAATCCCTGGGAGTTCTGTGACTCTGCCATGGGGAGCAGATGACTCAATTGTATACTTACCTGTTGGACAACACTGAACCTAAATACTATAGCAGTTTAGCACAAAGATGACACATTACCAAGTAGCTATTCTAAATATACAGCAAGAATTGTCTAACCTGTGTCCAATCCCCTAATCCCTGGGAGTTCTGTGACTCTGCCATGGGTAACAGATGACTCAATTGTACATAGGTACTGCAAGCAACATTTGGAGTCAACTTTTCTACCGCTGTACAAATATTGTCCTCTACAGCTGTCACATTCCAACTCAGGCCCTTAAACCAAAAACATCTATAAAACACTTGATGCTCTCGGTGTAAGTAATTTTGACTACGTGGTCTTTACAATATTAGTAACATTTTTTTTTATAATTTAAAAATAGCAAACACATTTTCTCTAAGATTATCTTCAGAAGAATTCCCAAAGATTTATACCGTAGTTAAACTATCTTGTGCAAAACTTTAAGGTGGATAAAAATAGATCAAATAGGTTTTTCACAAGTTGAAAAATGTGGAATTTGTTTCTTTAAAATGAAGAAAAAATTAGACAACAAAATTATTTGTACGAATTGATTCTGACATTAAAAAAATTGTGTACAGTAGTTTTATTGGTTAATATATATTTCATAATCATTTATTTTGTCACCTACTATTAGTTATAACTAAGTTATTTTATTTTTCACTATATGCATATAAACAAAAATTAAATGAACTGCCTGATCTAATAAAGTCTGAAACCTTCTAAACTATTTAAAAAAATGCTAAATGTTGACCTTCATGGACAACTCTCATTTCAAACAAAAATTAACACACACATTACTGTTTGCTATTTAAGAGGTACCCATTCAACTTATGAACAATATGAAGTTTTGAAACAGCTATTCATGGGATAATAGATTGATTTCTGTACAACCTTTAATTTCTAACAGGGAAATATGATCATGAACGCATCACTATTATCTTATCGATGATAAAAATTCCAAACCCTAAAATAACAAATATATTTTGTGTCCAACAGTACAATAAGATGCAATTGCAGTTATAAAACTAGATGCAGAATGGATACAGGCAAAGCCAGAAGTGTATTTCAAAATTCATCCACCATGTGAAGAAGAAGTAATATCAAGAGGATGATTCAGATAAGGCCTTTGAAAGTAATGATCTGGCTTTTTGCAACATACAAGCTTTGAAGCATAGACATTGAGGAAAGTGAACTGTTGAAGATAATAACGTTTTTCGGCAACTTGAAGTGTCGCATTGCACAAATTTTGAAGCGGACACTGAGAAAGGTGAACTGTTCGAGACTGGAGTGTTCTTGAACAAATTGTGAAGCATAGACACTGAGAAAAGTGAAACGTTGAAGAGTGAAGTGTTTTTCAGCAAATTGAAGTGATTCCTTGCACAAGATTTGAAGCATAGACACTAAAAAAAATTGAACTGTTAAAGTCTTGAGTGTTTTTCTGCAACTTGTAATGCTTCCATGTACAAGTAAATACCACGAAGATGAGATACTGTAAGCACATTTCAAATCACAAAGACAAGTCACCGTAAAAAAATTATAACTGAAGGTCAAGTTTAAAGAAATTGCTCCAGTGAAAAGAATGTTAAATGGAAAAGAATTGGCTTTGGATTACTAAGGTGGACGGTTAGGCGAGAGAGAGCGATATGGAATTACTCTAACATGATGCTGCCTACCATTCAACATGATAATGGATTACCTTAACTAACCTGTCTTATTAACAAACCTAAGTATGGAAAGGCAGTTGGTTATGGATTACTAAGATGGATGCTAAGGTGAGAGAGAGCAATATGGAATTACTCTAACATGATGCTGCCAACTGCCCAATGTGATAACAGATTATGTTAACCAACCTGTCTTATTACTAAATGTAACTAAATATAGTTAATTGCATTGGTGATACAGATACAAAAATTAAAGAATAGGTTATAAAATCATCCAGTTTTATTATTATTATTATTATTTTTGACAATATATATATATATATAAAACTTGGTGATTTTTAACTAATATTAGAGAATTTTTACAAAATCTAACAATATTAACTTCTGATTATACTGTATGCAATGAAAGCTTTATTTTAAAAAGTTACTGAATTTAAAGGTGATGCCATGATCCAGACACAAGTAAATAAATGAATAAATATACAACCCAAAACAACATTTATCACCAACAGTGAAAGTTAACATTTTTCTTAAATTGAAAACATATAATACTCTACATCCTCTCACACTTATAGCTATTACTTGACTGCCAGGGTTTCTTTCTTTGCCCATCTAAGCATTGGTCTGATTTTTTCTTGCTTGCTACAGCCTTGTATATCCTACTCAATTGCCCTTGGCAATATTTATCTTGTGACACTCTCCAACTATGTCAATGCACTCTTTATTCTGGTACCTCATTCAGATAATGTTATCACTTTTTCAAGACTGACCCAATCTGCAGTCTTTAACACCAGCTCTTGGTGGGGAGGAAAGGCAGTAAAGTGTGAGATGAGGTAAGTATTATTGGAAATACATTTTTAATTTAGGAAAATGTTAACTTCCAAAACATACTTACCTCCCCTCACACTTACAGCTATAACATCAAATTGATAAGGTGGAAGGGCCAGTTAGGGTATTATCTATACAGAAAGCATCTGCATATATCATGAGTGTGTCAATAGAAGATTGGCACCCTTGTGGGGGAACCGCACTACATCCGGAACAGGTACGCTCTTCACCCAGAACTTAATTCATGCAATGTGGGTAGAATTTTACCTAATTTAACAACACTATAGGCCAGGCCCCAAACCAGATCGCCAAGATTCCACTACTCTGGGTTGGAATTAAAGGGCCATAGTCCCTATATCCCACACTGATGGCTAGGGCAATTGGACTGGAAACTATATTTAGATATACTTATGAGTAGATCCCAACTTGTAGCCATAGAGTGATGTGTTCCAAGCCACCAGAATCACAACGAGAAAGTAAGCGACACCCCAGGCTCGGAATGACAGGCTCATGTATGCCTCACTCAATCTGAGGAAACAGAATGTATCTGGTCTGGAATTATGAACACTCATCCTCACTCCCCAACCATGTGAGCAAGGTAAATTATGTGTTCAACCAAGGACCCAGGATGGGACCACTCTGTGTTTGGAATTATGAGGAGACAATGGACCCTCTTCCATATACAATGTACTGAAACAATAGTGATCAAAAAGAAGGGACATGCTCAACTCAACCATATTGCCGAGCATCAAATCTGAACAGGTATTATAAGTAGGTTCCCACGTGGGCTGGTGCCACTCCTACCAACATCTGAGAAAAAACATCCTGAGACCGAGGTAGGAAGGACCACAACTTCACCCAAGAATGGAGGAATTCTCTCTAACACTCTGAAGGAAAAGCCTCTGTCCACCATCCCAGTGACTGGAAACTGGGTGTGGTAAAGACTCCCTAGCTCGACTAGTAGAATCTAAGGAGTAATGTGCATTGGCGAGCCCTGAGGAATAGTTCAATAGGTGAAGCAAGTTCCCTAAATTTTTAAAAGAAAACCAACCCCCGATTTATTCAATCCAATGATCGGCAGGGATGGGCAGGATACCTCCTCATGTTGTACTCATGATAGTTCATGAGTGGCAGTCCAGTATAGTACAGTAATACAACCCAGTCAGCCTTTAGGGGGTCTTATGAAACACCTCATTTCTACAGAGCCTGTTGCAACCTGTATAAAGTATATTGAATTAGTGGTTGCTAGTGTGGAATTGGTTTGATAAAAGCACACCTGCCTGTGCAACACTCACCACAGAGTGGGATCCTGTGAAAACAAGGTAAGGGACCCTTAAAGGTAGCAATGAAAATACTCACTCCTCTGTATAATCTAACAGAAATGGTTAAGATAGCTACAGGGTGTAGGAAAAAACCCTTAGATGAAGATACTGCCAAGTCATGCAAGTAATGTGAGATAAAAGTATTGGGGGAGGTTCACATATCAGTTCACACAATGTCCTCCAGCAAGCAATTCAACCAGGCTGCTAAGGACATAGAAATATAACAAATCTGATTAGACATGACTTGCAGAAACTTCCTCGCCTTCAAAAAGAACCCAGAATAAAAAGTCGTTGTCTAGCATCTCTATATCTGATCAGACACAGAAGTGAGAAATAGTTATCAGATGAGTTGATGAAAAGGATTTATCCCCTTTCCTGTCTGACAGTGCCGTGGGTAAGAAGAACCAGTATGAGGATGTAGAGAGAATGAGAAAGAAGTCTGTGGACAAACAGCACAAATCACTCTCATCAGCGATGTCTGTAGGACAACCTATTTCATGAAAAATAAACCTTCAGGTAAAGGAGATACATGCCATATAAGAATTAGTTCACAAACAGGTGTTGAGAAAGAGCATGTAATGTAACTTTAATATACCTGTTAGGTAATTGGAATGGTCATTTGGGATCAAGGACCCAAAGTGACTTAAGGAATCCAGAGAGTACTGGGGACTCAAATAATATATAGTCACGAGAATAGAGCAGTAGTTGATAAGGCCACCTTAAACAGGGCAATTGTGGAAGATGCAAAATCCCTGCCAATGAGCCAGGTAAAAAAAAAAGAGTTATGGTTGGCACTTCTGATCGAAGTGGGTTGAACCTCTCCTCAATACACTTTTGCTGATATGGCAATGTGCAGATAGGAGCTGACTACAACAAACTTGGACATCCACAATACAAGTAAAAAATGTCAACTGAGATTGAGGAATGAGTAACTTGTAAAAACTGGAGAATCTAGGCACTAATATAATGAGAAAGATCGATGATTGGATACCAATCGCCTGTCTTCTGAAGCCCAACAAACAATGGGAATAAAACCCCAGAAGTACTAGCACAACTCTCTCACTACCTCCAGACCAACCAAACTCTGATAGCCTTAGAACTAAGTTCCAAATTCCAAGGATCTACAGGAGACAGAAACACTACAGGTCGGGTGGATAATAGTGGTGAAGATGTGAACTGAGTGACTAACCCTGACTCAAGGAACTGTAGTGCTCCTAGATCTGTGGTTAAGGTTACCACACTTCCAGAAATTCTCAGAGCTGAACCCCAACAGACCCTGAAGGTATGCAATAATCACCAACATTGCTGGCGGGGATCCAACCTAGCAGCAGAACCCTTGGATATAGACAGAATCTATTCTGGGTACCAATGTACTGAAGGGCCAATGTTGGGGGTCGGGCCTCTCGAATAGGGTGGAACTATGGTCCCCTGTAGGATGCGATGAAATTCGATACTCCAATGACAACAGGGAGGAATGTAGAAGCCGACAATTGAACCAACATGCATGCTAACAATGAATCCAGCTCGTCATCAATGAAGTGAAAGGAAAACAAAATGTTGGATTTTAGAGTTGTAAGTCTGTAGACTTACCCTGTTCCAGTAGGGGACATTGATCTATTCAGGTTAACTACAAACTCCGCTTAGAACCCCGAAATTCGAGGGCCAGATGTATTATTTGAGGATTGGAAAATGCTTCCACCAAATGGTGGTAGGCTAAATCAAAAAGTTTCAACAACCGTGTTGGAGAAGGCATAACTCTCCCTTCATTGAGAAGTAAACCTCCCAGCATGAACCACAATATCTGTCAATGGATTGAAAACTAAAAATTTGCTCCCAGACCATTTAGCCATCAAGTGAGATGCAGGCTCAAAAGCAACCGAGGAAAGGCTTAAAACATCACATTCTTGATGAACCAACAGAAGAAAACAAATCAAAGGCAGCTTATCCCAAAATGGCCTCCTTTTTTTTATAGGTCATTTACAGACTGTGTTGATTACTGTTGATTGGAACAACATTTTGTCAGGTAAATTTGTTTTGTTAGAGCAAAGCAACGTTGGGCCATCTGCCGCATCCACCATAGGGAATCAAACCCCGCTGCGAATCCACAAACTCACCACTGTCCCACAGGGATACTTAAAAGCCAACAGACTAAAAGAAGGTACAAGAAGAAGCAAATCTAAATTCTCAACACAATGTCAAGAATCGCCTACAATTGCAGCTTAAGAGCCCCCTGGAGGAACACCACAGAATCGAATATATGTCTCCATCTCACTACGAATAAGATCACTGAAAGTCTCAATGAAGAGTGACAGGGAAGACCTGATTTGACTCCATGCCGGAAATAATAATTCGGGAATTCATACCGTAAATCAGCTTGTTAATAGGAATATAAAAAACTATTTCTTATTATTATTATTACAAAAATCAACTAGATTACAAGGATGATGTTCAAAGTATCTCCAAACAATAATATTACTGTGAAACCTGTTAGTAATGCTTTGTTGAGAAAAAGCAGCATTAACATTATTTTAATGAGGTACTTATATACAGGATAGAGGGCGCATTGATGTAGGTGGAGAGTGTCATGAGATATATATTGCCAAGAGCAATTGAATTGGGTATAAAAGACTGGAGCAAGCAAAGAAAAATCAGACGAATGCTTAGATGAGCAAAGGAGGAAACCCTAGAAGTTTAATAATAGCTATAAGTGTGAGAGGAGGTAATTATGTTTTGGAATTGTATAAATCATCATGATGAACTTTCTAAAATTTAAGGGAAAGAAAAAACATAAAAGATCTTACCTTTCCTAAAGCTAAAAATCCATCACTAGTCAACACTTTATCAAAATTGAGAGCCGTAAAACTTATAGAATCTTCAATCAGACGTGTCACTAAGCCAAAAACCGGTTCAGCCCACTTAATATGTGGCAGTGAAGTCATCAGACGATCACAACTAAGCAGCATCTCCACTGTTGTTTCAACTGTCTGGAGAAAAAAGTAGTCCTCTAAAAAAGGCATAATTCCTTAAAGCAGAAGTTACATTTAAAAACAACAACATTTAAATTCTACAATATCATACACCATACTGCCTCTTTCTTTTCCTAGTTATAAAAAGTTAAAAGAAAAACTACAAAACATTTACCAAATCATAACTTTTTATACTCTTCGCATAAAAATTATAAAAATGATACAAATAAAGTAATTTTATTTGTATGCAAATTACATAAATTTTTAATCTAAACAATAATGAAATACTCACTAAATTCTGAAGAGCACTTTTGTAACATTTCTCGAGGAAGTCATTTGGAAGAGTAGCAAATGCTTTTTGTGTCCATATCCTGACGAAATACTTCCCGATCCAATGGATAGCCTTGTTCTGCAGCTCTTGTAACCCACATGTGGCTGTGAGGGGCAAACATTCTGCCACTCCAACAATACAATGATTACAAGGCTAATCGCAAAAAAAAGAGTCAATAATGATCTGTAAAATCACCTACAAGACCTAAAATATTTCAATAACAAAAAAGTATATGTTTTTTTTCTATAATTACTTGATGAAATAAAAAAACTACTTTTCTTAATGCTGAAGGCAATACAGAATCTTCTTTGTCTTACAAAGTTTATAATGAATGGAATGCAGAAAACTTCAAAAATGTTTTGTCCTTTATACCAAAAAATGTGAAAATTAAAACCTAATCAGGTGAACTGGCAAAATCATTATTAAAATTTTGAGAAAGTCAAAGTTACTAAATGTTAAGAATCTATAAACAAATACAATATCCTAAAAATACAGATTTTTACCACTTCTAATGAGTTGTTTGCTGCCTACAATACCCATTTTTTACTTTTTTCCTCAAAGGTTGTTCTATTGTTCCATGTTACATGTAGTACTTTCACTATTAACACTTATTGGTCAACAGTATGCACATTACTCTAAGTTTCCTTCAAAATGTTCTTTGATTTGAAATTTGTGTATCACATTTGTTATAACACTTAGTTCTTCAGTTTTATTGTTCACAAAGTTTTCCAAAAGACATTTCTATCCAAAATTCATTATTTTTGTAGGAATACAAATTTATAAATAAAATATTTCCAATTAACTTCCTAATTCTTTGATGTTTGTTTTTTACACTTGTGTATCATTTTCTTTCTTTCTTTTTTGAGCTTCAGTATATCTTTCCATTTAAATTTAAAATTATTTGAATTACAGTGAATTTCATGCTGATACTTACCTCTAAATAACGAAAAGCCTTTCCATGTTCAGTTACTCTCATGCTATCAACAAACATGTGACTATAGTTATAATTTTCTTACACTGAAAATACGTTTTCAATAGATACTTATCTTTTCTCAATCGAACATATTGAAAATAAATTTCCTCACTTGATATACTAGTCTTTATAACCCTCAGTTCGAGCTGCTCATTTAGCATGCTTAGCTTGTGCAACAACCCTCCACCAACAGGAGCATGACACTCTCAGAGTAGTTGGCTCCCTCTGTATTACATTATGTGTACCTCACTTTTGAGATTAGACACACCAGAAAACATAGGAACACCAGAAGTGGATAAAAAGGGTGGAGATAAGTATCTATCGGAAATCTATTTTCAGTGTAAAAAAAAGATAACTTCCGATATGATACATAAATCCACTCACGCAATAGCTAGAATCATACATTTAACAGGTGGAGGGATCATCATAACAGAGAAAACAGGAGACCCACCACAGAAAGCAACCATAGAGAATCCAATAAGTGAGCACATGAATTGAAAGAGAGCATACATAAGGGGGACCACAACACTTCTGGAACAGGCATGCCCTTTGTGTGGATGTGACTACCGATCTGCCATCAGATTTAATGCACTTGGAATATGGCAAGCTAATAACTGTATCCGGTGCTCGTCAGCCCAGAATACGAGTTCCAGCATCCAAAAACAAAGAGACCTGGATTTGGTACCCCTTGCTTGGTGATGTAGGAGACTACCAAGGAGTTGTCAGAATGCACCATAACCACCCTCCTCTGTCGAAGATAGAGGAAATGAGACCTGGCTCAATGAACTGCCAGGAGCTCCAGAAGATTGACATGAAGCCAGATTTGACTGAAAACCAAGTCCTGTAAGTCTCCTCTGCATCGAGAAAAGCATTCCAGCCTACAAGAAAAGCATCTGTGAAAAGATGCAGATCCAGATGAGAAGGTGGAAGAGAAACACAAACTGGAGTATTGTCTACGCCCAACCACCAAGCAAGATTGGATCTCATGGAAACAGAAAGGACAACCAGAAGATCCAAATGATCCATGAGGAAATTCCAATGATTGCAGAGTTTCCACTAAAGAGAATACATATGAGCATGCCCGAGGCGAATGAGCGCTTCCAAGGAAGAAAATCCCCAAACAAATCAGGTACTTGGGAGGGGAAATCACAGACTTCTCCATCTTGATCAATTAACCTTCCCTAGCTACCTCTTAAAGGAGGAAATGACTGTGGGTGAAAAGACATCAAATGGGAAGGAGCCAGAAGAAGCCAGTCAGCCATGAAATGATGAATCCAGAGTCCCAACAAATGGTGATGTCAAGCAAAGGCCTTGACTACTTGGAAAAACACATAAGAAGCCAAGGCAAGCCCGAATGGAAGAGCCCAGAACTGGAATAAGCCCTTCGTAAATGAACCAAAGAAAACAAAGTCATGAAAGAGATATGGGTACATGAAGATATGCATCTGCCATGTCCAACTTGGTCATCTACATACTTGGAGTGAAAACCCAACAAAGAGACAGAAAAAATTCCATGGAGAAACAAGGGGGATTCAGAAACTGACTGAGATGGAAAAGTTCAATGACAGGTCTCCAATTCCTTAATTTCTTGTGGATGTCAAACTGGAACCATGGGCTCTATAACATTCTTGAGAAGAAGCTCTTTCACATCTTCAAACAGACGAAGACAGTAAACCAGATCTTGTGAGGAAGGAAAAGGAATGGGAGATGAAG